GAGGTGCATTATTATTTTTATCATATATATATATATGTTTTGTATTCTTGAATGTTCAGTCTTTGGTACGACAACCATTGCTGTAAAGCAGCAAGACATCGACAAATTGAACGAATGAACCACAATCTTTTCAGAGCAAGATAGTCTTTGACAAATTGACATTTAGCCACTACAGCTCATTGTTGAGTAGTCAGTCCATCGGGCTATGATGCAATCATAACATTCGGGTGGTGAATAGATAGGGGGAGTGATGCAACTATGATGCAAGAGAAGTATGGGAACAAGGTATTAAATTCTTTCACCTCAATTCTCTTTTTAGATTTTACGTTTTTTTTTTTTTTATAATGATGCAAAAGAAGTATAGGAACATGGTATTACATTCTTTCACCTTCCTTCTATCATACCTTTGTCATCTTTTTAAATTTTATATTATTTTTATAAATTACTTTATTAAATATATATATAATTCTATCCTCTTAAATACTAATATAAATATTAAGTTATTATAATCTTTATTTATCTTAAAAAAATGATAGAAAACTTCTTGCAATCTATAACAGTTTACTTTAATAAAGAAGATGAATACCAATCTCAAATAATTTATCTCTCATTATGCATTATATGATATCTTAATTCATCATCACACACATATCAATTGATTGGCTCTATCGAACGAAAGCATCAACGTATAGTTGAAGTTAGTCTCATTCTCTTATGTCATGTCTCTATGCCACTAACCTTTTAGTCAATAGTCTTTTAAACTATGATTTATCTTATTAACTGTATGTTTACTCAAATCCTATAACACTAGTTACCATTTAAAAGATCATTTCACTAAATATTAAATATTTAAAAATTCAAAATATTTTATTATTTATATTATTCTTGGTTACGTCTTTATGTTTTACATAAGTTAGCACCAAGATTCAAACTTTGTATCTTGATTAGATACGTCTTTATGTTTTACATAATATTTTGCATAATATCATGCTATTTTTATTGAGTATATCTTTTCTTTCTATAATCTTATCTTTTAATAACGTCAGTCACTATAATAAATTTTCATTACTGGATTCATAAGAGTATATTTTAAATATGTACTCCTTTAAATATAACATCAATATGTACTCGAGACACTATAACATTAATTGATAGTTCTTCTTTAAATATGTACTCCTTTGTTACTCTAGCTAAACAACATCTCACCAAATAATGCCCTTCGCATAACAAACGATAACTTTGTCATCTCCTTGACCAAGTGACATCGAAGTACATCAACTTAATCAGTTATGAATCATTAACTTTTCACTAATTTTTATACTATCAATACAACTCAATAATACCATCGAATCTAAACATAATATGACAACATACTTCAAAAATAATATTTTTAAACCATGTCAAATTATAATCTCCACGCTACAACATGCTCTCCACTTGACTATACTAAACCCACGATCATTACTTAAGCTAAAAAGAAATTATATTAACACAAAGTTATATGTGAGAAATACGATATCCTGCTTCATAATATTACATAGATCCTTGTACCATCTCATATCATACAAAATTTTATCGAATATAAGTGAATCTTTCCAATCAAATGAAACCCATATAGATTCATTGTCGAATACTAAGCATGTTTAGTGGCTAAAAAGTTTCACTAACAATTAGGTATTAATTTCACATAGCCCTTTAGTCCAATTGTTAAACTAATGGAAATTTAACTCCCTCTGAGTTTAATCACTTAAAGTTAGTATGTGTACCAACTAAATATTAAGAATATTTTTTTCTAAGAGATTTTAATTGATGATGTCTTTGTGTATTAACTTGTGACTTTATTCACCCTTAATATTCAAACTATATCCGTAAACTATGAAAAAATATTTATAGACTTCTTTGTAAATACTTATCACTTCATCTCTACGTCTTTGACGATGTTGATTGGACAAACAATACTAATAATAGAACATCTACATCAATTTATATCATCTTCATCAGAGCCAATCTGATCAATTGGAGTTTCAAAAAATAGAATACAATTATAAGATCCACCATTGAAGCAAAATACCAAGCTATCACAACCATCGCTATAGAACTTAATTGGATCATAATTTGTTATACGAACTTGGCATCACCTACCAATCTACTCCTATAAGATACTATGATAATTTCGATGCCACCTATCTATGCTCTAACTCGATGTTCCACTCTCGCATAAAACATATTGTCATTTATTTTCACTTTGTTAGAGATCAAATTGTCAAATGTTAACTATGTGTTTCTCACGTTCATACTTTTGATTAACTAGTTGACTTCTTCACAAAGTCTCTCAGCTCTATGATATTGCAATTGCATCGATCCAAGCTTAACAATCTTGACGAAAACTGAATTTTGTAGAGGCATGATAGAAGATCATGATAGAGACAAATATAAGATGATAATTTTACATTACTTATATATTCTAATTCTTAATCAATCTATAATTTAAAGATTAATTATAACAATATATGTGTATAATTTAAATATATAATTAAAAAAATATTTCTTTCAAATATATATAAATATGTATTAGTTCAATAAATGAAATCATCTCGTAAATCTTTCGGGCAGGATAAAGTCATCATGTATGAACTTTTGACCTTGTTTACAAGCTAGTCTAATGAACTATCAAACTTGTTCTCTTTTATCTTCCTCTTTTTGGCAGCTATTGCAGGTCGAGTGTGCCATGTTGACTTGAAAATTGACTGCATTGTTTAAGTTGACCCGGAAGACTCGGCAGTTCTGATGCTGCACAGGATATATCATGGTACGTCCATTCCCATGGTCACAAATTTGACTTAGTTCCTTCCACTCTATACTGGGATTCATTTGCTATCGTTATGTTTCGCACATCATCGATGCAGAAAAGTTCCAGTCGAAGGCCTTGGTGAGGGAAATAACGGCGATAAGACTATGTGACATCAGCTACCCCAGATGACACCTCACGTCTCTGTTGACCTGTCAGCACCTAATCAACGCGGACCGGAACGTCGACCAAGGTACATTAACACCTTGCTCAGACTCGATCCCTCACGCCACGCCAACATCGGTGTCAGACGCTACCAGACGTACAAATCTGCTCAATACGGGCATGCGCATCAAACAACGGTAACCCTTACTATAAAAACCCTCGCGCTCCGAGGAAATGAGGGAGGGGAGACAACAAATAAAAAACCCCTTGTGACTATTCACTAACTGGATCGTCAGAGGGGTCGGGCCGAGCTCCCCCGACCCGACCTGTGTGCAGGTGCGAAGACGGAGGCCTCCCACTAAACGTCCAAGTGAGGAGTTCCCTCCCGGAGGAAGCAGTGACCCCGTCTTGATCGGACCATCACAATCAGCCACCTCAGTGGTCTCGAGGGCCGTCCCAGAAAGATCTCCCATCATCCGGACCCGAACCAAACCACGTCGGCCCGAAGCCACGACTAAAAATTGTTCCCAACAACAGGCCTCTTCTATACATGTTGTGTTTACCCGTCTTATTAGAGCACAACATTAATTCACGTACATTTCCGTTCTCTAATTATCTAAATATTTGTTTCCAGCCTTTTTTTTACTTTTTCTATATATATATATATATATATATATATAAGGGTCGTCTGCAATAAGCTGTGTGCTGTTGGGAGGTGGGACAGGTGATTCGACAAAGAAAGCGTGTAATATTTTGACTTAGTCAAAGAATTAATGAAGAAGTTCTATTGACCGAACCACCCATGAAAAACTTCCAGGGTGATGTGATCTCCCGTGTCCACACAGTCCCCATGCATTCAGGGCACACGAGTTACCCCTTCAATATTTCCGCGCTGATTCAGTCCACCACGATACCATTGCCCGATAAGTAAACGAGTCTTCTCGCCTCCTTCCTCGCTATCACACTCTAACTTCCCTCTCTCTCCCGCCTGTATTTACACGCCGAAACCATTCCCTTCCCACCTCTCCGCCAAGAGGCTCACTCTCTCCTCCTCGACCCTCACACGCAGGCAGATGCATTCACTGATGCAGATAGGAATAGTCAGGGGACTGACACAGCCCGAAATGGAGGCAGCACAGCAGTTGTTGCAGCTCAGCAGCGGAGAGGAAGACGACGACAGCGAAGGAGTGGAGCGCTCTCAGAAGAACAAGAAGAGAGGAACAGGTGAAGCGGAGGCGTCCATGGAAGGGGAGCACAGCGAAGAGAACAGGCCCAGAAAGCGGCAGCGGTTCCGGTCGCTGGTGGCAATATATGAGGTGACCAAACCCATCAGAATGGGTTGTAATGGAGATGAGAAGAAGGGAGTGACAAGGCAGGAGGAGTGAGTGTGTCTTTTTCTCGTTTTCTTTTCCTTTCTTGTTGATGTTGTAGGAGGATGACAAAACAATGTAAAAGAAGGAAGTAATTGGGGAGCTAATTAATGGTGTGGTCTCCAACTCGTATGCATGAAGGAGAGATTTTTGGTGTCTGTTGCTGATAGTTTGGAGCATGCTCTAACCCAGAGTTCCTGGACACTATACAAGACATCCGAGGGGATGTAGTTGGCTACTGATGGTATTTCTCAGGCCTCATGTCATTCCACTTTGTGCAGGTGTTAACAAGAAGATTCAAAACCACTCCTGATGGATTAATGAAAGCTAAAAGAGAGAACAAGATTGGATTCATAAGTTGAGAAGTCAGAGAAATGGACATCATAGCAAGTAAGAACCTGCCTTCAACTCCAAGTGAATATTTTGTTCACTGAGGAAACAATGGATGATGAAAAAGACCAATCATATCTACATGACTGCTGACTTGAGCTTACAAATTCTTAGACTGACAGCAAGGCACAGAACAAAAATGATATTGGATACTGTTGCCTCTCTTCAAAAGCTAACAATTAGCTCCACAATGAAGATGATACCTTCTCCCTTCCTCTTGATTCCACATGTTTTCATTTGTTTTCCAACTCTACTTCTTTTCTTTTTTTTGTATTTTGCATCACTAGTTTGCAAATAAATAATACAACAGAAAAATCAATATGAAGAGTCGTCCAGGTACTACAAGTAATAGGCAATTAGCATCATGAACTGCCAATTTGCCAGCACAAAGTTAATGGTCTTACACATTAAGAACATGTGCATGCCAAAAAAATACTTAGTTGGTAACATGTAGATCACTGATACAAAGATAGAGAGGTTCATTAAAGATTAATATCCTTAGTAACCACCCTCAACCACATTAATCTCCGAATACCCGTGGTCTTCAAGAATATATGTTGATTATATTCCTCCTTGAATATGAACAAGGCCTTCACATACAGCTCATTGTCAATATCCTTCATGAGATTAAGCTCTTCTAGACAATCATCGAGGAGATTTAACTTTTTGTCCTGAGCTTCTTCCCTCATCGAAGCTTGTCTCCGAGAAGCTTCCGCAAATTCTCTTAGAGCTAGTAGAGCACCATCTGCTTGACGGCGGGACTTTCTACTACTTCCCCTCAAAGTACTGAAAGTTGAAGCTTGAGGAGCATTGATATTTTCTGCTTCCTGGGTGTCTTGTGGTAACCTCGCGTGTATGTCAGAAGTAGCAACAGGGTAATTAGATATTTCTGGAGTCTCAACAAATGAGTTAAACGTCCCATCACCTTCAATTAAATTAGCATTTGCATCTTTATCTGCTGTATCTGGTATCCTAGAGGAGGATGCATCATTGCCTTTTGAAATCGATGATCCACAAATAACCTCTAGTTCATTAAAGAAGGGTGTTTGTCTTGTCCTATACAACTTTGCTTCTGGGTTTTTCTGCAAATAAAAGATACATATAAAGAATGATTATCAATCAAAACTTTTCTGAAATAACCCGAGATTTATATCATACCGCAACGTACTGACTCCATTCATCATCATCTGTGATCACGATTTGTAATTTATGATCCCAACTAAAACCTGGATGATTCTTGATTCCACTAACTATACGAAATTCCCGCTTATAGAACCTAAAGCGGTTTTTCAAGTGGTCGACATCATATTGCAGCCTTGTGCGTTCATTGAACCTATCCACCATGTCAAACCATGCTTCCCTGGTGAAGCTTGCTCCTGCTCTAGCACCAGAAAGAGTCTGCTCCAACATTAGGTCAATAAGAACTCTGTCATGCTCCCTTGTCCAGTATACCCGAGCTTGATTTGATGTTGCAACCTCCTTTCTTTTCAATTTTGAAGTGCCTCTGTTCTCCATTTTATCAAGCAAATAAAAGAATAAAAAAAAAACCAAATTGCGATGTCATAGTTGCTGAGTTAACAAACAGAGGCAACACATAATTTTTATGCCAAAATCACACAAATGGATATTGCAAAATAATGCCATAATTTTTAACAAACAGAGCAGGATATATGGATACAAGCCAACACAACCAGCACCAACAGGCCAGAAGACATGATCATAATGTTCAACAGTAAAACCAAGCACAAGCAAAACTTCTAGGGTCATTTATCGGGCAGAGGGTGGAACCTTCAAGGAAGAAGATCTAATCCAGTTTACAAATATATAGGAGATAATGCAGAGCAAAATGATTGGAATAAGAAAACTGAGACCCGGACTTATCTGATGTCATGCCTGTGCTGATTGGTTTCGCATTTCTGTACCATGCCAGTAATTCATAATCATAGCATGTAGTGTGGCACACACTTCCACTTTAGTTGTTTATCTGAACAATCAACAGTGAGATCCTAACTAATTGAGGAAAGCAATCCAATAGAATATTCAACATAAGCCTCAACGTAAAAGAGAAGGCATACGGTACAAAATCAACACTTGGAAAAATGCATCCCGATCGTGATAGGAATAGTTTTCTTGAGTACTTTCCCTCTCTAGAACTAGCACTTAATTGTAACCGGGGCAAGGTCTAAGAATACCTTGCAAAATGTTTTCATGCACCAGCAAGGAGGCGACATGTGGCAATATGAAAATTATTTTGCATGACGCCTTATCCAAGTGGCAATTCGTGTTTTGTACATTTCATGAATTCTATATCCTCAACCTCAAAAATAATACGGAACATAAATCAGTGCCCCCGACATTGCACAAACTACGACAAGCCCAATCATCCATTTGAAACTGACACTAAAGAAGTCAATCCTAGTTCATTTTAAAGATAGCTTATATATGAAACTAATGAATCCAGGATGAGAAGGCACAGGGAATGCTACATTCAACTTTATCTCCGTTATAGTTTGGGAGGCCCGAAGATGGAACTGCAACTCGGATCCAATTTGGTGATTGTAATTCGTGGAAGCTCCTCATTCCAAACATAACAGTTCCGTGGTTCAGAGCATGATGATTTAGACTTCACCATATGTAAATGCAACAGTAACAGTGCATACGCTACACTTGAAGCTCTATACACCCCAAACGAGAGCAAAAGCACCATCGAAAAAGGGGGAAGATCTGTACTTGCATTGGCTCGCGATTGATTACCGGTGCATCAAGTAAACGAGAGACCCGAGAGGGTTCCTATAATACACTTTTCGTTGTCGATAAAAGCGAAAGGCCTGTCCTAAAAATCTCTGAGAATTCAATCAAATAAAGACTGCAATCTGTGACCTTATCCCTAAAACATAGAGCATAGAAATTAAGCTAAAAAAACCTTTTTTTGTTCTGGATTAGCCAGAAATATCGTGTGCTATTCACTGCACATTGCATCCAGAACAACATCGTCCCGTTCTAATCTTTTGATTACAAAGAGTACTGCAAAGAGGGGAATGAATTCGGACCTCGACATTGCCCGCGGTCGGCGAAGATGAGGCCGATCCCCAAATGCTTCCGCCTCCAGCAGCCGCGTCGAGTTGCTCCTTCGACGAGTGGCATCAATAAATCCTTAAAGCCTTTTCTTTTTTCCCTTTTCCCTTGTCCTCTACTTTCTCGGACGGCGGAGACGTACGCGACATCAGAAGTGATCCCAAGCATTATCCACCGTTGGATATCAAATCTAAGGCGGTGGCTATCTCAAATGACATGCCATCTTATCCCTTCCCATGGGTTGGGTCAATATTGACTCAAACGTGTCTCGCACTTTGAATCCGATTAGCTAATCGTATGCCTTTGGATTTGGATGAGAGGGTCTCGATTGGATGAACCCCGTTGCTGTTTCAGACGCCAAGATTCGTTAAATCACGTACGATGATGATCACGCGTGCAAGAAAGACAGAGGGGTTTCTCCGTCATTCTATAAGAGGCTTCCGCATTCACCACACATATATAAGCGGTCATTAGGGTTTTGGAACCGACCCCTCTGAGTTCCGCAGCCGCTTCAAGTCTAAGGTAAGAGATTAGAGGTCATCTCCGATCTCGGTGTCTGTTTTTGTTTGATTTCTTCAATGTCGATTGGTAATCGGTGATTGCTATCTGTCATATGATGAGAAGATTACGAAGAATCAGATGCTTATTAATCTGCGTGTTCCTTATTTTGATTCTCGAAGTGCATTTTGTTGTTCTTTTAGATGTAAATATTAGATCTTTGGCAATGCTTACTCACGGAAAGCATCTCTTGACATAATCGTGGTCATTGATTCGTCTTCAGGGGAGGGTAAGTCTGGAAGATGTCTCACCGGAAGTTTGAGCACCCAAGGCATGGCTCGCTTGGGTTTCTTCCTCGGAAGCGAGCGTCTCGCCACCGTGGAAAAGGTAACTCGGAGAGAACATCGTCTTGATTTAGGCTCTCCCTATCATTTTCTCACGCGATGCTTCGTGATGTATATGTAATTTATCACATTCTGTAGTGTTGTTGTTGTTGGCACTGTTTTCTTTCTGAATGAGTTTCATGTTGGTACTTTTGTACCTTGAATGAACCGTGTCACCCGTCTATATCGGATGGTTTATGACGAGAAATTGGAGGAGGACCGGTACTTGTCATGCATTTACATAAACCTGATTCGAGTCAGGCAAAATTATTGATTCTTATGAATGTTATCTCTCTCTCAGTATATGAAATATTGGCACATTAATAGCCTTTGCTGATTTTCCTGCTACGCCTGAAGTACCTAATATTTCCCAAGCTACATAGAACTTCATTTTTTATCATGTATTATCATGATGCTAAATAACATTTTGTCTGCAAATGTTCAGTGAGTTTGCTACATTTTATGACTTCTAATTAACTTTTCTGCACATCAGAATGTTTCTTATGTAGCATGCACATTAACAGGATTTAGGCCTCATGTTAGCTTCTTTTACTTCATTGATGCATTGCTTCCCAATTTTTATTTTTGTTAAAGGTACTAGGCGAATATAAGCTGAAAATCTCCATTTTAACAACTGCTATGTGTGATTTTCTGATGCAGTGAAGTCCTTCCCGAGGGATGACCCCACAAAATCCTGCAAGCTCACGGCATTCCTTGGGTACAAGGCTGGGATGACTCACATTGTACGTGAGGTCGAAAAGCCAGGATCAAGTGAGTGTTTATTACTCTAATCTTAGCCTTGTTCGTAATGTTCTAATTTCAGTGTGTTATACTGGAACCATACATCTTCTTCTGCTTCCAACTTAGACCTTTATTTGTTTTAGTCTTGATTTTTCTTGCAAGTAGATGGTTAACTTGGATTCTTGTGACCTTTGTTTAAATGTCATGTTGATGTACTTAATATCCTTTGGAGAAAAATTGTTGCAATTTTTTCGGTTGGGTATGCTCATAAATTGTTCTTTCTTTGAATACTAGACTTTATTCATATCTGTTGCCCATTATATTAATAAGGAGAGTGGATTATTTTTAAAATCATTTTACTATATGTTCATGCTAAATGATTTTTATTTGTCATACCTATGTTGTTATTTTCTTGTTGCTTGCAGAGCTTCACAAGAAGGAGACATGTGAGGCAGTGACTATCATAGAAACTCCACCAATGGTTGTTGTTGGAGTTGTTGCGTATGTGAAGACACCGCGCGGTCTCCGTTCTCTTAATACTGTGTGGGCTCAGCATTTGAGTGAGGAGGTGAGGAGGAGATTCTACAAGAACTGGTGCAAAAGTAAGAAGAAAGCTTTTACAACGTATTCCAAGAAATTTGATAGCGAGGAGGGAAAGAAAGAGGTTCAGGTGCAGCTGGAGAAGATGAAGAAATATGGTTCTGTTATCCGTGTTCTGGCTCACACACAGGTGCATTTCATTGACATTGGCTGACGCATTTTATTACTTTTATTTTGTTTAGTACTTTCTTGTTGTCTTTAAAAGCTGACATGGTTAGAGAAACTTTCCAGTTGGTAATTTCTGCCAGCCATATTAAGTATAGCATTATGGTCTGAAGTGTGTCATAAAAACACACAATTATCTACTACAGTAACTTGTAGATTTTATAGGAGCTGTTAGACCCTATGACTTCTTGCTTTACTTGCCCATTATGTGGAGAGATGAAATGCATTAGGATTTTATGATGAACTTTACAAATGGCTAGTTTAACGCTTACTTATCTGCTTGATTAAAGCAGCTAATGTTCCATTGATGGCCTAGGACAACATCAGCCATTATCAGGACCTTTATTATGCTGAGCTCATTTATTAAAATCTTAATCATGGCTGATGCGTGTTTTGTTGAGGAACCAAGTTGCTTGTTTGCTGACTTCTTTTTTTATATAGAATCTAGATAGCTACGGGGATGTTACCTTGTTGTATATAGCATTTACATGGCCGTCAATATTGAAAGGTGGGCTGTAAGCTAGCAGACTTACTGAACTAGGCTTTAAAATAATTTTTGGTCCATGGTTATTTTCTGAAAATTGGATGACCTTATCTTTCTATTTGTCTATATCATGGGAGCTGAAATCTGCTCATCCCCATGTTATACTGATAATTTCTGCTTTTTATGTTCACCAATAACAGTATGTGTTAATTAATCTCTTTCATTTTTTTATGACTAATTACTTTTTGTGACCCCTGATCCGAATTATTGTATAAATGTAGAAACACCAACTAGATGCACAAGGTGGACTAGATATTATTTTTGGTCATTTTATAATGGCTGTTCTCTTTTATTGATTAACCAGAAGTAGCTGATGATTGTTACTATCTGTTTTTATGCCTCAGATACGGAAGATGAAGGGTCTGAAACAGAAAAAAGCTCACTTGATGGAGATCCAGGTCAATGGAGGGACCGTAGCACAGAAGGTGGACTTTGCTTACAGTTTCTTCGAAAAGCAAGTTCCGATCGATGCTGTCTTCCAGAAAGATGAGATGATTGATGTTATTGGTGTGACTAAAGGTAAGGGTTATGAAGGTGTTGTGACCCGTTGGGGTGTCACCCGCCTTCCACGGAAGACGCACAGAGGACTGCGCAAAGTTGCCTGTATTGGTGCTTGGCATCCTGCCAGAGTGTCGTATACTGTTGCTCGTGCTGGACAGAATGGTTACCATCATCGTACTGAAATGAACAAAAAGATATACAAAATCGGTAAAAGTGGAGATGAATCACACACTGCTATTACGGAGTTTGATAGGTCATTTCTCTATTCTATTTATCATTTCTTTTCGTATTATTTCGGCTTTTATCCTAAGATGCTTCATCAGATTCTGATTTGAATTTAAGCCAAATTTTCATCACCTCGGAGTTGTTTTTAATATATTGCAGTCAGATACATATGGATTGTTAATCAGCAAATATAGGTCATTCTGACTATTTTCCTTTTCGATTTGACCAGAACCGAGAAAGATATTACACCGATGGGTGGTTTCCCTCACTATGGTATCGTGAACCATGACTATCTTCTGATCAAGGGTTGCTGTGTCGGGCCGAAGAAGAGGGTCGTTACACTTCGCCAGTCCCTACTGAAGCAGACATCTCGTGTGGCCCTCGAGGAGATCAAGCTTAAGTTCATTGATACTTCTTCCAAGTTTGGGCACGGCCGCTTCCAGACGACTCAGGAGAAGCAGAAGTTCTATGGTAGGCTGAAGGCCTAAATTTTCACTCACCCACTTCGTCTCTGGCAGAAGATGAGTTTGAAACATCCTTTCAATTTATCCTTAATGATATTTATGCATTGGTTGAGTTTCCTATCTAGATTCTAACTTTTGATGTCTGTTGTCATTATGAAACTGTGTTTTTTTTTGTCCCCAAAACACACTCGATTTTGGATAATATGAGCATTCTCATCAGCATGTGATTATGTGATTCTTCAACATAATTTATAATCTGTTTTTTTATTGTTTAATTAATGGTTCGATTGTTAGTTTGTATATTTACAGTCATAATTCATTTTGATCAATTAAACATCAAAACAAACCATAATTGACACCAATATATAATCGGAATATTAAAAGCACTTGGAGGGGGTATGTATATACACACGCTATATACCATACAAAAACTCGGAAGGGTAAATACGTTATTTCGAGACTTAGCAATATGTGTGTGTATATATACACCAAAAGCGGTTTGGCCATTATCCCGCTATTCTTCTTTTCCTACTCCGTCCCTTTTCTCGATGCGTTCCATTTCTTGAAGGAGGGAGGCGAAAGAAGAGCCCCGAACAAACCCTCTTGTGCTCTCTATCGGATGCGTCGATGCCTCCGCCTCCTTCCTCTCGCTATGGGTAATTTCTCACGATCTGCGTCCAATCCTGGCGTTTAGTAGGGCATCGTTCTTCTTGAACGTGAGATCTTATGGTTTCTGGATGCTCTTCTGGATTCTGTGATTGCTCGTTTTTTGTTGTTGATTTACTGTACGTTCTTAATCCTAATCGTAACCTATTGTGCACTCGGTCTTGCGCTGTTGTCTCCGCCTTAAATCTTCAGGAACCCTAGAAAATCCTTTTCGCTTTCCTTGTTAGATTTTCGTGTTTGCCAGGCTCTCCTCATTCTTGAATGAAGGAGCAATTTACTGGATCTTATGATCTTTAGGTTGTTCGTGTGTGCTCTTCTCGTTTTTAATGGATCGTTAGGTTCTCTTGTGGTGATTGCACGATGGTGTGGAACGGATGAGAAAGAACCATCGTCTTTCTGTTTCTGTTTGCTTGTTTATGCTGTGTAGTAGTTCTCTATGATTCGTGTTGGATCTTGCATTGTTAGGATCTCACTCTCGAACTTGGGGCAAATATCTTGGAACCTTATCATCTGTAGACTTTATATTTGGAATATGTGCTTCTTGAACGTGGGAACTCGTGGTTTGTGTGTACTTCTGGGTTCTGTGCTTATTGTTTTTGGTTGTTGGTTTACTGTACGCTCTTGATCCCAATGGATGCAGTAGTCTCGGCCTCGAATCGTCAAGAACCCTAGAAGATCCTTTTCGCTATCCGTGATAGACTTTCGTGTTCGTTGGGTTCTCCTTCTTCTTGAATGTAGGGAGCAATTCGTGGATCCCATGATCTTTATGTTCTTTGTGTTTGCTGGTATTTAGGTTCTTTTTGTGTGCTTCTCTCGGTTTTAATGGATGCGATGATTACACGATGGTGCGGAACGGATGAGAAAGATGCATCGTGTTTTTCTTTACATGTTTGGTTGGTACACCGAGAAAGGGCCACTACAAATCTTAGGTAAACCAGGAGATCCCTGCTGATGCCATAGCGCAATTCTCTATGATTCATGCTAGATTTTGCATTATTAGGATTTCAGTTTTCTTGAACGCAGGAGGATCGAGATCTCGCAATATCTTATGATCCGAAGGCCTCTAGTTGTTTAATGACTTAAAATGTTCTTTCTTGTGGTGTGACATGATAATGTAAATGAAAGATGGATGACAAAGATCGATCATGAATGCATCGTCGTTGTAGAAAGAAATAAAACTTTTCTGCTATAAAGATTGTGTGGAAAGGCTGAAAAGGACGCTGTGTGAGCCTTACAAGGTCATTCACTAACTGTCATTTTGTAGGTAGGTACGTACGTAAGATTAATTATGTTCAATTAGTTTTAATTAATCCAGCTTCTTTATCTTGACCTCCTTTACTTCACTCGTGCATTCGCATAACTTGCCATGTTACATGTCATTGTCATATGGCACTCGCAACAATGTTGTCTTTCTCGATTATATATTATTAGTAGCTTATGATGACAAGATGGGTGCTCTCTTGTGTAGCTCAATTTCTGCTTCTTTCTTTTAACAGCAACTTAAAGAACAGGCATTTATTTTTACTTGGTTCTGAATATATCTGCTTTAAAACTAAGAATACTATCATGTACATGAATGATGCTTCTGCTATCTTCTCTCAAATGCATGGCAAACTCTGGTCTGCCTGCTTAAAAATTGTAGGAAAGTGATATGATGATAAAAAGAACTCGGTAGTTTTATTTAGCAGTGTAAAACAAAAATTGTAATCTGTCTTAATCGATTAGGGGATGCAGTCACATGTCAGTTGAAAGTGCTATATAGTCATTAATTTTTAAACCATAGGCTGTTTTGGAGTAGGGTGGCAGAAAGTGTTTTGTGCCATGCCTCCTAGTGTTGTCTGAGACTTAAAAAAAGCAGGCTGGCACGAATTAGTCTTTTTCTATTGATAAATAAAGCAATCAAAGTGTATGCAGCAAGGAGCACGGGGTTTGTTTGTTTGGGCTAATTACGCTTTGCTTTCGGTAAGGACCTTACGATAGCGCGAAGGGGTTGAAGGGAGTTCGAAATACCCCTCGATTATGAGAATTCTATATTTTTGGATAGGCCATGATTGTTTCTGAATCCTTTGTTAGAAACGAGCGAACAAAGTTTTCAAAGCCTTTGTTTTCTGAAATCCAATGTTCTTAAAACAAAATTTTCTCCAGCTATCAATATATGTCGAAAATATATATAGCATTCAGAAAATATATCAATACGCTATTTGCGGCCCACAATTTTCAGGTTGCGGCCCAAAAGTTCTGAGAGCACTGCTGATAAGAGTAATTTATCATATATATCACAGTTCTTAGGTGGCACTGCTGTTGTAATACAAATCATAAAGAATCCTCGAGGAAATCAAATCATGTAAGCCCGAGAATGCTACTTTAACTTTTTGCTGCTACGAAAAAAAGCTAATGGAACTAAACTCCCTGTCATTAGTTTCACCAGCAACGAGAAAGAAAAACTAAGCGCTTTGTTTCACAACCATCGAGACTTACACACGGGTCACACGCATTTTCACTAGAACAAATGACTTGTACACATCAGCCACCAGACGGACAGGTGAGGGGGGGTTTCAAAATTTGGCTTCATATTCTTGTGGCCGCTGCAAAGGATAAAAATTACTTGGGGTGCCTAAGTCAAATTTCAATAAAATAATTACTTGGGTAGTTTTAAAAAAAAAAAAAACATACCATGAATGTGGCTGAGACCGATCTTCCCGCAAACCATCTGCCTTGCATAGCACGCTGGCAACTCACAGCGGCTGTCACACTTTCAAATCGTAGGTATACAAAACCAGTGCTGTTCCTGCACAAGTGGAAATATAAAAATAAAATAAAACTAATGTCAAAAATCATGATAATTTTAAAGATTCACATCCCGATCTCAAAGCACTCACGAGAAAACCCTATATGCTATGTGACCAAGCACATGAAAATAAATTCATCATTTAATTTAAATACCACAAGCTCTTTTCACGTTGCAGAAAGCTCTCTGAATTGGGTGGTTGACCCTCTCATTAGCCCATTTGGGTGCGGTAGGCAATATACCAAAATGTAGTACTTGCAAAACACCATAATCACAATGCATAAAATAAATTTGTTCATTCTAGAGAAAAGAACTCACTTCTCCACATGTATATGCTTCACAGGGCCAAATTTGGAACATTCTTCTTGGACGTCTTCTTTAATTTCCAAATCAAAATCAGGTTCCGTCTGAAATGCAAACAGCAATAAAGTTCAGTAATACGAAAGAGAGGCATGTCTCATGATAAACACTTGTCTAACCTCGGTGCTTGGATCAAACATGTTCTTTAACAATAAGCACTCGCTTGGCTCCACCACAGAAGTTGGAGTATGTTGTGCTGAGACAACTGCAGGGCTCATAGATCGCCCATTAGCAAGCAGGCCAAAGGCATGTTGATTAGGAACTGCCCCATTGATGATAGGTACTCCTAGCGACTCGGCAATACTGAAAAGATAATGAACAATTCAGGTCATGAATAAGAAAAAGAAAAACATAAACAACTGGTCTAGTCATGAAGATTGACCTCGAGGCTGCTCCAGTGCGATCCAGTTTCTGCATGAGGATTGCTCTGGAACGAGCATTTAATGACTGCAAGAAAACAAAATAGATAACATATGAATTTTTAAAGGAACTCTCATGTTCGGCAGCATAACAGCCATCATCCATCATGTTATTTTGCAAGCTCCCTAATAATATTTGTGCCTAACTCCCAAAAAATTTACAACACCAGCTTATTTAGCAAACAGGATCGATTGACAACCCATCAACCTGACATGCTGGAATATATGTATGGACTCATGAACAACCATGGACAGTCCGTATAACCTGTTGAACAGCCTAACATACAGCGACAAACATGACTAGTTATATCGCGGCTCTAATAGGACCTGATTGCTAGATAAGTAATTGAAGTTATTTGCGGGTGCTTTTCAAAAGAATTCTAATGCCAAAAATGGTGAACTGAACACATCAAATTCTAAAGCAAAAAATGCTTGGTTCACTGTTTTATATCTACAGGGTTGTAAAGGATAGCAAATGCAAAGAAATTCTCAATATCATTACCCAAGCATCATACTTCCAAATGTGTTTGGTTTTATATCTACAGGGTTGTAAAGGATAGCAAAAGCTTAAAAATAACATCGTCAATGTGTCACTTTTTTTTCGATAATTATCAATAGAGCTAAACTTGAGAATGTTATAAGCATTAGCAATTCAAAGCAAAAACAAAAGAACACATTCAGCATACCAGACCACCACCATCCTCATCATCAAAGTCAGCAGCATTTGTCCCAGTATCCTGTACTCCAACATGATCTGTGACAGCTGAAACCTGTGAAAACATTTAGAGTTCATTTGTAACATATGATTGCTAAACAAATTTGGTCAATAAATCACTGGCAGATAAAAGACAATAGAATCTGCTACAAAACATTAAAAAAATGATCTCATGGAAAACTGAACCGATAAATGCTCAAAATAAGTAAATGGTTACCTTGATAATCCGACCAGCAATATCCAACTTCCCGTTCAAACTTTGGGCAGCCTTTGCATGCTCAAGCTGCGCAAACTGGGAAAGAAAAGATCATGTCAGCAAATGAAAAGCGAGATGACAACAGAACTAGCAGGCTATTTTACTTACTTGAACAAATCCATAACCTCTACAATGTCCTGATTCATCTAGCGGTAATTGCACAAGCTCCACAGCGCCAAAAGGTTCAAAGATCTTAAAAGAAAAGTATTACAAGACAAATTTTTACACAATGGCCTAACAAGTTACACACAAAATGCAAAAACTAAAAAAATAAACAATAAAACCTAGGACATAAAATGACATTTCATTGTATGTAGAGTGTAGAGCTAATTTAAGTTTAAATTAGAGGAAAAGAAATAAAGATATATTGACCCATTAAAGTAGAGACATAACACCACAGTTAAGACCATCATGAATGACCTGGAATAGATAAGCACAAAAAGAAATACAAGAGCTACAGTTGTAACCAACAAAATTCTTCCATGTTTAAAGAATTTAGGCAGCTCAGAAGGAGAGTATATTTCCACGAAAATGAAGAATACGACTGTCAACAAAAATAGAGATGGCAGAGGGGCAAGATCTCAAGTCTATCTTATATCTTCTTACTTGTACCACCTAGAATCCCAGCCAAGGTCAAATTTCAAGTTCCTTTCCAATTCTTCACTTATATTTTCTGCCAGTAGAAACCCTTTTCTCCTCACCTATCTTCTTTGCAATTTTCTTTTTTGTTCTAATAACAAAATAGTTGCTCTTCATAAGTGGTTAACATCCAGTCAACTTTCTGATATGAACTAAGTAACAGAATTTAGCAGCCGAGCTGTCAGTTCAAGCATAGTACTTTATAAGATTGAAAATCCATAAAAAGCACAAAAGGGTAAAGAGTGATATGTAGATGCATTTTACTAGTTACTTTATTCTTTTTCTTTCTCCTTATAAGTGTTAAAGGGGTTGAAATATGTTGAACCAGCTAATTCTGACAGATATGTCAAAGTAGTTCATGCCACAAGATTCAAGGTTTTGAATTTAACTCGACAACATCTTCCTCCCAGTCTAGTGGATAATTCTTCCAGATTTCGAATGGAGCAGCTAATTAGATTCGTTTCTCCTTGTGACTATCAGTCAGGGTAGTCCAGTTCAGATCAGTATCCTTCTCTAAAATATTCTCAAAGATCAGTGGAGATACATCACAAAATATCTCAAAGATCAGTGTTAAAGACTGGCGATTTGCACCTGACGAAGTTGCTCTTCTGTAATGTTATAATGCAGGTTTCCAACGTAAATCTTTCTTTCAGCAGCGCCTGCAATACCAGTAGTTGAAGCAGTTGACTGAACAAGATTCTTTTCAGCTTCAGAAGGTTTGACCATGACAGGTTGACCAAGTAGAAGTTGCCCAGACAGTGCAATAGCCAGCGGTACCGACATCACATCATAAAACTCAATATAACTGCAATCAATCAACATGGAAGAATGTAAGTTCCAATATGCATCCCTAATAAATCTACTGCAGAAACACACAGCAAAAAACAAACATACTTTTGTATAGACAATTCTTGCATATACAAAAGGATGAAATCAAAAGGAAGAAAGAACAATCTTCTGGGTGACATAATTTTATATATACAATTTTTGCAAATGAGCAAAGACCTTTTAGTGTTCTTCACATATACAAGCACCGGATGAAAATTAGTTACCAAACAAGCATATGGACCCAACAGAAACCACCCTTGGGCAGTACATACTAGCATCTGCTTCAGATCTACTAAGAGACCAAATAAGCAATTATCTTTCAATATTTGCTACAGTGTTAGAGACAGCCAAGGATTCTGAAATCTATTCTCCATTTGGAGCTTCTCTCAAAAGTGTTCACAATTGTGCAGCTCATTGCATTTGTTTCATTCCCTATGGAAGCCTCTTTTTCAAGGATAAACTACTACCCATATTTCTTCAGAGACACACTATTAAGAATGATGAAGAATAAAGACTCGAAAGACAACCACCAACAATTATCTTCAACATTATTGTAAGATGGCATACATAATAAATTTTTGACAATAGCCATTAGCTCTATCTGCAATATTCATCATTCTTGTTTTTAGTCCACAATAAATACCAACATTTTGGACAAGATGTGTTTATTTTTAACAGTTAAACACTTGTTTGTATTCACAATAAGTTTAATTAACAATTACACCCATACCCTTTTTGTCAATTAATGCAGAAAGTCATGAAGATCAAACTCGGTAGCTGACCATAAGGATGGTTAAACAATCAGCTGTAGAAGATGACTCAGCACTCTGATTTCGACATATATGAAATTTTTTTTCTTAACAGGACAATCAGTATAACAAATTCAAAGCAAATGAAAGTCGAAAGGAAAACTAAAATACCAGTGACCTCCAAAGTACAAATGAAGGCACAAGAAAAACAAGAAAACTGACTGCAACATCTTTATAATTCATATTTATTCTACTAGCATGCAGATTGGTTATCTCCTGATGACAATATATAATTCATGCCTTTTGCTCTGATGGAAATTAAAAGGAAAGGCAAATCCAGTAAATAAGAATAGCAACGGCAACATATGCTTCACCTAGTACATCAAGAGGATGATAATGTGGAGTTTTCGAGACACATCAAGAAGATAGTGTCTGCTACATATTTGATTACACAGATTCCAGTGCTCAAAAAATAGAAATGGAGATATGGCAGTATAGAGATGTCATAAAAATACCTAAACTAAACAGGATTAGTGCATTGTAAAATCATTGATACAACACCCAGATATAAGATGAGCAATTTGTTCATTTAGAGCAGTCAACAGCCACTTCATGAGACCATAAGCAGCAGAATAAATTATAAGCATTCAATAAGAAAAAAAAATCCATAAACAATCTTCAAACTTAAAAATACATGAAATAAGGGCAGAAACTAAAACTACATTAGGAATTGAGTCATGGAAAAAGCATATATAGGTTGTTCCGTAAGCTCATGTCTAATCAAGAAGATAATCAGAATAGCAAACATGTTATATTTCCTCAAAGTCACATTCCTCCTATATCTGATTAGCATACTTGAACTTTATGTTAATTCATAAGGTACATGAAATCACACATATTTTGTGCGCATGAGAGAGAAATATATACCCGACTCCTTTCGACCTTCTTGAGTTCCGATCCATAATCAACCGAACATCCCTCACCTGGAAACTACAATACAATTGTTAAAGATGTGCCTTTATACTGAACAACTAGGATATTAACTTACATGACATTTTGGCATGCATATGACAATCTAAACCCATATTGAAGCAGTCAACTGCTTTCTCATTATCTAGCTCACCAAATAAAGTATGTTGAGCCATAAAAAGGTCAACATAATACGCTTCATTGAAGGCAAAGAAGCATTTACTGCAATAAGAAGCAAATGTATCTCAATAACATGCAACAACACCATTTTAAATGGTAAATTTTATGCCAGCAGCATTAGCATATGTCCTACCATAGGAACTACTTAAGGTACCAAAAATACACAAGAGGATGTATATTACAATTGAAATACTATACCTTTCTTGTATACAATATGGAAAGTCAGAACACTTTATATCTGTTGGTTGCATGCTATACCAAAACATGCAGTAAAACCTAACAAATTGCAGAACAATCATCAACCTGTAGCTTCTCTTTAACAACTAAAAACAAAAGTGCTGATTCACTAACCTTTCCTACTTGCGAGAAGAATTCATAAATGTCTCTTTCAGTAGCTTTCAAAGGCATCTGCAACGTCAAAAAGTAAGAAAACTTAAAAGACGTCAAGGTGCATCCCAAGAAAGAAGATAGTTACAAACAAGAAGGCACATGAGTCTGTCATGCCTTACTATGAAGCAAAAAAATAAAAGAGAGAGAAAGAGGGAGATAAATCATTTGGCAGACCTGATAAGCAAAAACAGTCCTCTGATCCCTTTCTGGATCAGCTTCAGGCTCTGCATCTTTTTTGTCTTTAAACCTCCTACACACGAAAACAAAGATTAATAAGTCATTCCATAATTAAATTCATGTTATTTTTTTCTCACTTTAGGAAACACAACACAATAAGTAAATGAATCAAGAAAAATCATCGCGAGAGATAACATGCCAACAAAGCTTGTTTACGTTGTATCTAAAAAGAAGGTGATTTGTCACCCTTAACACCTAGATTTTGTAAATAACAATAGCAAACAAGAAGATGTTGCGTTAAAAAAAACAAAAAATCTGCTCTTTGTTTCTATTTAATTTCTCTAAGCATGAAAAGCTTCCTAACCTTTATCACAATTGTCCAGAAAGCACATCTTGAACAACAATGGAAGTGAGAAGATTCTGAGGATCAATGATGACGTTCCTGATTTTAAAATAGAGTTCGGCTTAAAATGATTACATTTGAGCCAAGGAAAGTAACGCTTAACTAGATTCATAATTTTTTAGAAACTTTTCATGTAAATTTGTCACAATTTTAGTGAAGTTATGAAAATGAAATAATATTAGGCGAGTCTTATCTTTTAGTTTAGTCACTTGATTGTGTAATGGTTCTTATTTTTATTGAAGTTTAGTGAAGTTTTCCTTTTAATGGTTCTTATCTTTATTGTGTAATGGTTCTTATTTTAATGGTTCTTATCTTTTAGTGAAGTTTTCCTGTTTCTGGAACACACATTTTCAGGATACATGATTTACAGTAATCCATTAACAACAAAACTTAGAATATTGGCACTTACTGAATCAGCATTATAAATGATTTAAGAGGAAAATATGTTTGTACAAAAGCATGCAGGAGTCTTTGTGATTGCCACACATGGTTTGTATATTTGGCAACAGTTATCAAACAAGTATCCTCAACTAGTGAAATCCACAGTAAGCCATCTCTAGAAGACCCCTATTCACTACCAAAACACACACACACATAAGGAACAATGGTTCGGAAGCATATATGCAATGTGGAGGAATGCATTTGACATTTCCACATTCCTTTATTCAGCAAAACATCAAAAGGTTTAAGAAACACTTTAGTTTGTCCTTTTTTCTTTAAGGTTTCTAAAACAATGTTAGAGTGTCATATAAGAAAAGGTTTATATTTTGCAATGTGGAGGAATATATTTGGCTGTTTCCTCCATTCTAAAAACATCAAGATTTAAAAAACATTTCTGCTTGGATTTTTGTTTAAGGTTTCTGGAGCAATGTTGAAGTGACATACAAGAAAGATTTATTCCTCTGCTTGCTAGAAGCCATGCAAACACAAATAATATGTTCTATCCCTTTTTCATCTCATATGTATACTGCTCCAGTTTAAGAATGAATATGCACTGAGTAAATTTTTTTCTTCAACTTTATATCAACCCTAATCAATTTCGAACAAGAACATAGGCTGTCTTGCAGTGTAGACAATAACAAGCATCACAACAAAGTAAAGCTCCATTAAATGACTACACAAGATATAATATAGAAACTGATTCATAAATTAACATGCAATTTTAGAAAAAGGTGATTAACCATTATTGATTAAGAAAACCTTAGTTCCCAACCAATCTTCTTTGTACTTTTTCTTTCGAAAGTGGCAGTTCTTCTAGATGTAGATTTTCTTGAGAAAAATAAACATGAAGAATGTCTCCAACCAACGCACTAACTCCAACACAATAAGTTCCATGATGAACACAAAGGGAGAAGAAAAAGAAGAAAAAAGCAAAAAAGTAGGGACATAATATAATACCTGCTTTCTCTTTCCCTTATCTCTTTCTCAAGCTCTCGTTCTCTCCTTTCTCTGCTCTTCGCTCTCTCCATTTCCTTCTCTGCCTCCTTGTCCTGCTTTCGTGATCTGCTACTACTTCTTCTCTCCCTCTCCCGCTCCTTGTCGCGTTCTCTTTCCCTTTCCTTCTCTCTTTCCCTTCCCCTATCCCTCTCCCTCTCCTTATCTTTGTCCTTATGCTCCCTCTCTCGGCTGCGATGATCCCTATCCTTGTCCCGCTCCTTCTCCGATTCACGGCCGCTACGATGGTGGTCCTTCTCACGGCGCTCCGGCCGGTCCCTGTCCCCGCGGTCGCGCTTCTCGCCGTTCCGCTCCTCCGCTCTGGATCTCTTGGAGGCCCTGCCCTCGCCGTTCTCTCCGCGGTCCTTGTCTCGCTCGCCGTGGCGCCGAGATGCGGAACGGTCCTTCTCCTTGTGCATCTTGGGCTCCTCCACCGCCTTCTCTAAGTAGTCGTACTCATCGAAGTCCATGGCGCCGCCTTCCCCTTCCGTCCCCCACCCCTCCGTCGTTCTCCTTTCTCCCCAAGAAAGAGATTCTTGGGGAACCGTAAAACAAAACCCTAGAAAAGAACCGCCAGAGGAAAAGAAAGAGAGGAGAGAGAGCGCCTCTTAATGAGCCAGCGGATTTGGATCGCGGCTGCGTGCTATTATATAAAGCTCTCTTTCTCCGCCACACCAAGAGAGAGATATTGATGAGCGGTTGAGATTAAATCCGTATCGTCTTTTAAGAGGCAAAAATGAAGCATGATCGATCACTGATTGCGTACTGACCGTGTAAGTGTTCTCGAGCTCCCGCTCGTCGTCGTCAGCTGTGTACCGAATCGACCCAAATTTTGAATATATTATTTATCGAGAAAAAGTTTTATTTTGTTTTTGTTTTTGTTTTTGTTTTTGTTTTTTCAGACACGAGACATGTCGACGATTGTTCCGAAGAAGGAAAAATAACAATGACACAAGGCATGAACATACTAACTAAAATATGATTTAGTTGAACCCCCCATCTCACTAACCAAAATATCATCTATTGAATGAGAAAGACCACTTCCTTTCTTTCCCCTCCATACTAATTTTTAATCCATATAAATATCATCTATAACAAATAATTAAATAAAAGATATCAAAGTAATTATTTCATATAAATTACAAAATCAATCCAATTTTCACTCGGTTCATTTTTTTTATTTTTAAATAAAACCGATCTAATAAATGGACCGACCAATTATTGGTTCGATTTTGGTTTTCTTCGATTATCAAGCAATCGTATTATGATAAGAGATAAAATAACATATTCAAATTACTAATACTAACAATTATCTTCTATATCTGCACAAACACCCTCCTCCGATTTCAACATAAGAGTTTTAACTGTTTACAGCATTCATCTCGTATAGCACAACGAAGCTTCCATCCCTGAATCTCTATTTCCTCCGGTATGCGAGGAGGAAAGCATTCATAGTATATAAGCACAACGTGAGCGAGCAGACATAACGCTGAAACATAGATGTAGTTTAGAGAGAAGTGGATCTTATCGTACTTACAGCAGCAGAATGACAGACAGACATACACATCAGCTTCACTGTGTTGTTATTCTGTTCAAACGAACACTCTGGTTTTTTGAGGGAATCCTTTCTAGAGGAGCAATCAACTGTGGCATTGTCATGCCGCCAGAAACTATAATCTCTGTGGCATAGGAAACATCAGAGAGAACATTAGGAAAGAATACAATGGTGTCATTACTTGCACATTTATGTTTAGCAGATACATTTGTGTTTGCTTTGCATATTTGTTTCTACAACTTACAAGTTGGAAAACCAAGGAGAAACATGTTAAAATCATGAGATGACATGCTCGGCGCCTAAATTTCAGAATTTTATTTTCTCATTAGTGTCACGTGAACTCATAACCTGAGCGATTAGGTGCTCTCTGCCAGTGTTCTTGAAAGTGACCAAAAATTCGTTTTTGCTTTCAGAAAAAAAATTAGCTATTTCTTAACTTAAAAGCACACAAAACAGAAACAATGCCAAGTAAAGCCTATGTTAGTTTCACAAGATTAGAACCAAGATTAGGAAATAAGCAAAGCCTTGCTCTACAAGTATGAATACAGAATGACAAATGTTTACAGGAAGCACAAAGGAACTCATTCGTAGGATGGGAATGTAAAGAGACGCACGTACTAGGAAAAAAAAAATTATGAATCTGAACCCAACCCACTTAATAGACATGTCAAAAAATTACCCAAAACTCCACCCATTTGATATGTAACCTAACCAGGTCAAATCAGATAAAGAATGAGATGATTAATCTGCCTTTAGTATAATCTGATCAGCTTAAACAACCAGAATATGGCATGTAGAAGATGACCACTTAACACGGTAAGACATTATAAAACCACTGAGGACAATACAAACTGTTTTCATGTATCGACCTAAATATTGATTGGATTGTTTTTAGTTAGTTAGGTCCATTTCCTAATCTAGAATCCAACCAATTTATTAATCAGGTCAACTTTGTTCATCTGTTTCTCACCCATACTAACCAACTTATATAAGCCCAACCTTAACCCAAACTCATTCAAGTTCTACCACATTATCATCCAATTTCTTCCATGTTAAAATCCCATTTTACAATTAAAACAACCCTTAATGAGTACAGGTAATGATATTAAAGGATGGAATGGGGGTAGTGGAATCAAGCAATTGCACGGGGCTTTTTTGTTCATTCTTCCAAAAAAAGGGCCAGCTAACAGCATGTGGCACAGTTTTATGCTCATTGCATGTTTTTTTCACATCAAAGATATAGATTAATGGCAATAATATAAAGAAAACATGTGCAAATAGAAAAATCAAAACATAATGTGCGCATTAAGAAACATCAAAACATAATTTCTCCAGCTATATAAATGATAAATAAAAGAGACAAAGCTGCGATATATTGCTGACCAAAGAGGTGACAAAATAAATAAAAAAATTCCAGAGATGTCAAGGAACCAGACCTATGCCTTCACGAACAGACAGGTTGGGTCTAATAATTTCTTCGGATTTGACCAAGAATATATCACCAATATATAGATGGTTTGTTGGAACATAAACACTGCATAATTCTTCCTCACCGTTGTCACTCTGCAGTATAAAAACAATAGGATTATTGTAACAGTGCAAGAGATCCACGATTGGTCATGTCTTAATTTGATATCAAACATGATGGGATTAAAGCAAAGCATAATATATATGTACTGCAAATTACACCATTGACATAAATTTTATGGTTTTAGCTAGGAAATCAGGAAGCAAATAAGATGGCTAATTGGCTTGATAACCAGGCCAGAATTAGAGGGGTGGCCCAGTCTTCGTATAAAGATACCCCAAGAAATTTCCTTAAATTTCTTACTGATGATGTTTCTGTTGTCTTTTCACTGTTGGAGATAAATTGTATAATTATGTTTTATCTTCTAAAAATAGCAAAAACAAGTCAAATTGCAACTTATTATAGATCAAGAGCTACTAACCCAATGACTCGCAATTTATTCTAGATCAAGAAACTATTGCACAAGCCAACTAGCTAAGATCACATTGATAGGTAACAAGTGCAACTTATAATGTTAAGTACCTGAAAGACCACTGATGATGTAATAAAACCAAATGCATACTCGCCAATACGTGGATGACGGATAATTGCAACCTCTTTAAAAGCTGTGGTATTTTGGTCTGTGAAAAAAAGAAGCAAGCTGAGCCAAAGCAATGTATATTGAGAACAAAGGAGTAACAGTTTGCAGGTATCAACATAATCTAACTAAATTGAGAATGGCAAACACTTGGTTGCGTCACCCCAGATAAAGAAACGGATGATAGATTAACTGAACACATCATATGTAACAAAGCAAAATATACCAAACAGCACAAGCCGAATAAAGAAAGCATAAGGTAACAGCTGCTACTTTGCCTTCTTAATAATGGGAGAAAAAATTTACAAACATTTTCTTTTAAGCAGCTATAGCTAACCATGTAATAAGAACAAAACAAGATATTTATTAGCATATCATATATGAGGCTTATAAATTCTGCATCAGTTAAGAATAATTGGTTTAAGAAGAACAAAGTGACATCAATTTGTAGCAGACATATTCCTGTTCAAGCAGTGTTATAGTACACTCAAAATTTGGGTTTTTTGACATTGCTATCTGGTTATCAATCAGACAGTCTGATCATGTCCGCAACAGGAGTATAGAATCAGATTTTTATTATACATCCAACATGACTTGGATACGTTAGAATTGGGCCTTATCCTATATAATAACAGGCCTGCGTCCTGATGACCTTGCCAACAGTACTCTTTTAACTTTTGGCACTCTTACATCATATAGGCTTGTTCCAATGTATTTTTAAGGTCCATGTTTTAATTCTATAACATACAAGACATGTCGAAGCCACACCAGAAACAAACATAGTTTTAACTCCATGCTAAATGTAACAAGGCAAGGTCAATTCTTTACAAAATCAATAATGACAGGTAAATTGCTAATAAACCATGTCCTAAAAGCAAGATGTAAATAATTTGAACACTAAAAAATAACCACTCATGATGATAATAAGTGCTACCTATTCTATAATGAAAGTAGATAATGAACAAACAACAGTTATTAATTGCATGTTATAACATCTTCCTAAAAGAAAGTACAACATGGCCAACATTCAAACAATCATGGTTTAGTCATGTAGAGAAATGCTACCAGGAGAAATGGCAGTGCTGATTTGCTTTGATGCTGAATAAATGTGCCTCACAAATGGCATTCTTTTTATAAACCACTCCCCCACCCAGAAAACAGTTGCACCCAGCCATGATGAAACAAAAGTTCCAATGAGAAATACAAATACCAAAGATGTCAAGAATCCGAGGCCTGCAATTTCAATAAAGAAAAGATAAATTCATGAAAATAGGATTAAAAAAAGAAGTCTTGGGTTAATTCAGTAACAACTGTAACAATGGACAAAGTTAGACCTTAGAAAGCCAACAATTCTTGAAGCTTTGAAGATTTAATATAAAAACAACATAGAAAGGAATGAACTAATGCGTTCTGGCACTAATGCTACATAGAACTAATATGAAATGAGGAAAAATCTCACTCTGTGTACTTTTTAAATGCTATTAGAATATAGGAAAAGTTGGTCCTTTTCTATAACAATATAGAAAGCCCTGCTCCTGAACTTGCTCACTATGAATATAAAAGATTATCTTTTCATTCAATTCTGATACTTGGCACTATCAACCAAGTAATCACTCCAAGATAAACAGACATATAAACTCTTCATTCTTTACTGCCCAAGGCAGTGTAGGTAAAAAAGAATGGATAAAATGAAGGAAAAGAGAGTCTCTTAGCATAATCCATCACAAAATACTAATGGCTAAAAGTCTTGAGTGATCAAACTTTCATGATACCTTAAAGATTTCAGTTTTCCTAAGCTTAATTCTCTTTTGAACTAAAACACATACCGAATTCTCTAGTAAGTAGCTGATTTTTTATTACTGGAATCCATGTTCTGATTATGTCATTCATCTATATATCATACTTTCTGGAGATTTTTATACAAGGGCCACAATCAATTACAAATTACAGATCTGTGCCAACTTGACAATAGGATGTT